TCTTCCAAACGGCGTCGGTGGTCGATGGGTACATATGGGTAAACTACAGAACTCCGAGCAAAGGGAAGGAAAGTTAGAGGATCAACAAATTCGACGAAATGATGATTGATTCGCTCTCTTAACTTGGACTCCTTAGGTTCTGGCCAGCTTCTCTAACCAGAAGCCCGAGAAGAAGAAGAAGCTATAGCCTCATCCCATGCAGAAGGATTTAGGTCAGAAGAAGAGCTTCCAATATCCACGTTTGCAAAATTTTAGGTTAAAGCATTGTGTACAAAGGGTTCATAATCCAAAGGTTGATAGTTTGCAAAAGCCTCCATGACTTGAATATATGAGGGTGGGTAAAGGTGGCTAATCAATGCATGAAGATTCTTTCGAGGACGAACACCATTATCAAACAACTCTTCATATGCTTGATCGAGGTAAGAAAAAGTCAGCTCGGCCATGAGAGCTGAAATAGCCTTTTCGAATACTGAGATAGTGGGAAAGTTCAAAGGATAGAAGAGAATTTAATGCAAATGTTCATTGATGAATGACGGTTGCATTTCTGAAGATGCAAAACTGTAGCAAGCCCGCGGGGGGACCTTCGCTGCTACTGTTCGGACTCGCGATTTTTGTTGTCGCGGTTCTTAATCTGAACCAAAGAGTCCAAATCTGGCAAATCGTTTTGAGAAACAGATTTTTGAAAAAGTAGTGCCAAACATGGACTGCTTTGCCAGATACAGAGTCGCCACCTAAATATTTTAAAATGGGGGAATTTAGGAAACCCTGACTCGGTGCCGAAGGCCACATGTCCGTCATCACCGGAGTTGTCTCGGCTCGGGAGCTTGGGTACGATCGGGGAAAGTCAGCTATGAGCACCCCCTTTCGCCCGATCCGAAGACCGGCCTCTACTAACCGTGATATCCAATTTTGAAAACGCTATGTGTTCTTAAACCAATTATTAGCCTAGAATTACTACGTTATGCGCGCAGCAAACAAGTATAGACCAAATCGCCCAAATTGGAACAAAACATTCCATGTTCGTTTTGAAAATGGTTTGCTACTCGCAAGTAGGCTAAAATACGGATTTCAACGAGTTTTTCCAACTCAAACAATCCAA